GGTACACACAGAAACCTTGTCTCCAAAAAACAAAAGCAAACTAACAAAACCCTTTTTTGTGTCGGTGTTGGATTTGAATTAGACTTATACACAGTAGCTGTCAGTCAGCTGTCTCCTGGGGTTTAACTTTCTTAAACACATATCTCAGTTAGGAACCAGTTCACAGCTCCAGATGTATGTGTGTTTAGAGCCTCCAGTCTCCTGGCTCTGTGCTCTGCTCCCCTGAGACAACCCCCATAACTGTTGTCTTTTCTGGCTTCTGATACTGCTTTTACTTTCATGGGCTTTTAGTGTCTTTTTCTGGCTTTTTTTCCCCCACAGTGGACATGTATTGTTCTGCGGCTTGCTTTGTTTTTTACCTAACAGTGGTAGCCTTGACTGGTTTCCAGTGGGATCTGGGCTGGAAGGAGGGCTGCTGAGATTCCAGAAAGAAGCAGGGGACACCATGTGTGCGCATCAAAGCACTAGGAGTTCCCAGAGGTCTCTGGGCACAGAGTAGAGGGATCCCTGTATAGGAGTCCCCAAAATCAACCACCAGAGGCCCATGACCTGGCTCTCCTCTTTTCCCTCCCTTCCTTTCTTCCTTCCTCTCTGACTGTCTGTCTTTCCTTTCTTCCTTCTCTTCCCTGCCCCCTTCTTCCTTTTTTCCTCCACTCTCTCTGAGATATGGTTTCACTGTAAGGCCCAGGCTGGCATAGAACTTACAGTAGCCCCGCCTGCCTCTGTCTCCTAAGTGCTGGGATTACAGGTGTGTCACCATAGCAGCTTGGGTTTAGACCCCTGCTTTCTAAGGCAGAAGCCACATGGTGTTTTCACTCCTGCACATCCCCCTGTCCCTAGCCCAGGGGCCTGGCACAGAAAGTGCTTAAGAAATCTATTTGTGGATTAAGTTCTTCCCTGGTCCCTGTTAAAGACCCTCCTGGTCTCCATGATCTCCCTTTGAGTCAGCTAAAATATTCTTTCAGCTGACACACAATGGTGCTGGCCCCAGGTGGAGCCCCGAGGTGGGTCCAACTTTGGAGCTAGGGAGCCCCCTCCCCTCAGGCAAGTGGCTGTCCCTCCCAGCTGTCACTGTGCTGAGCCCTAATGAGGGCTGCACCAGTCGATCTCTGGGGCTCCTTCCAGCCTGCGGCATCAGCTCCAGCCCATCCCCTCATTTCACGGATGAGGGGCCGAGTCGAGTGTAATTTTGTCAGCTGCTTCAGAAATCCACTGGGAAGGGGGGCTTCGAGGCACAAAAAGGGTTGCTGCCTTGTACCGAGGACCAACCATGTCAGACACTCTGCCAGCTGAGTGCTTTATGTGACACAACAAGGAAACTGAGGTCCAGAGAGGAAGAGGAACCTGCCCAGGGTTGCATGCACCAAGGCTTCTACTGAAGGATCCCATAGGGGTAGATTCGCACCTCAAAGTCAGTCAGAAACCGAATTGGACCCCGACTTTCAGGGTGCCACCTTCCTCTTCCCCGAGACAGCCAGACTTCTGTAACCAAGGCGTATGATGGCATGCTGGAATATTGGCCAGGCAAGTAGTTGACTTGCAAAATTGATGGGCAAGGGCTGAGGTACCAGAGGCTTTTTTCTGATAAGTTCCCTTTGCCCAGCCCCTTCCCTGCCTCTGCCATAGCCAGCTTCTGGGGCTGGGGTGGATCCATTTGTATCATCTCCCACTCCCACACCAGTTCCCACCTGGGATTGGGCTCCTGGGGTTGAAGTCTAGACAGACAAGAGCATCCTACTGAGACCAAAGGCAGCCCTGACAAGGGGCTGAAGGTTCCCATAGCAACAGCATCCCCCCTCAGCTGGCAGCCACCCGATAAATAAATAATCAGGGTTTGGGGGTGGGGAGGTAAAGGCCGGGGGAGGGGCAGCCAGGCAGAGTAGGTCTTCACTCTGGAGAGGAGATGGGGGAGGGGGCGTGCAGGTGTCAGGCTCCTAGTAGTCTGAAAGAAGAGGATTGGAATAGCCAGGTGAGAGAAAAGATGGATGTTGAAAGGTCAGGTGGGAGACTGGTCCCATTAGTGGCCCCTAGTCTTGGGGATATTAGTGAGCTGGAGGAAGGCTTGAGTTAGAACTGAGGTTTCTAGCTCTTGCATCTGGACACATCAGGGGAGTGGACCCTGGAAATGAGCCAGGTCTAACAGTCTAAGTTTACAGTAAATGCTGTGCATGGTGGCATAGGTTTGTAAGCCCAGCACTCTGGAAGCTGAGGCAGGGGGATCTCAATTCCAGGACAGCCTGGGCTCCATAGAAAGACCCTGTGACCCTTCTCGCACTCCCCCCCAAAAAAAAGCAAAATTGTTTTCAGAGATGGGGCAGGCTCTGGAGACCAGTGGCGGCTTGCCAGCAGAGAAGGTGGTGAGGTAGCCTCAGGGCGGCATGGGGATCCAAAGCTGGTCTTGGGGCCTTAGGAGTATGGGAGGAAGAAAGAGAAATCCTGAAGAAGATGCAGGAAAGGGTAATGGGTGGGGACAGGGCTCAGGGCAGGAGATGGGAGTGACTCCGTGGGCTCAAGAATCGGGAAGACAAGGTTTTGGAGCTTGGGTGACTTGTCCTTATCTGAGATCACTCTGGGCCTAGCATCAGGGTACTTACCCTCTGGCTGGGCTCCTATGTGGCTTTGGTGACATTAGTGTTTTTGGTGGCAGAGTGACTCCAGGGACCTGCCTTCTGGCTGACCACATTAGAAACACTCTCAGGTAGGTGAGGTGATGCAGGCCATTAGTCCCAGCACTCAGGAGGTAGAGGCAGGTGGATCTCTATGAGTCTGAGGCCAGCCTGGTCTACAGAGTGAGTTCCAGGACTCAAAGAAGAAGAGTCACCCTCGAGACTGCCTTCCCTCAGCACTCGCTCATCGCCAGTCTTTGGTAAGGGAGCCGGTTGCAGAGTAACTAATACAGGGAAATCACTTAAGACTTCTGGTCCAGCAGGCTTCCCTGCCTTCCACCGTTAGCTGCATAAACCAACACAGACCTGTGATCCCAGCATTCCAGAAAACAAGACAGAAGGTGGCTACATGGTGCGAGCCCAGGGTGGGCTACATGAGACCCTGTCACCAAACAAACAAGGGGCTGGAAAGATGTCTTAGTGGTTAAAGCCCTTGCCACCAAACCTGACTATCTGAATTTGATCACTGAAGCTACCAACTCCCAAATATCACGTGATCACTGTAGCGCAATCTCTCTTACACAATAATAATGATGATGATGATGATTTATCAAAGAGGGTAGTGATGTAGACCTATGAGTTGGGAGGCAGAGATCAGGAAGTTGTTCCAAGTTCAAGGTCAGCTCACATTGAGTTACCCACACAATTTTTGTTTGCACACAAAGGGTAGACTTAAACTCTGATTCTTCTGCTTCTTCTCCCAGTGCTGGGATTATGGTCTGCACAGAGGCATCCTAACAATTCTGAGATGTAGAGATGCCAGTGGACAGAACATGCCAATGTCAGGCAAATGGTGAATTGGTCAGAGCTAAATGCTGGAGTGGGATAGGAACAGCAGGCATCCAGAGGTAGGGATGGAGCCCCCGGGGCCCTCCCACCTACAGAGGGTGAGAGTTGAGATGCATGTCAGTGCCCCAGGAGGGCTTGGAGAAAGGAGAGGAACTGGAGTCTCCAGTTCTAAATTTCAGTTACTCAAAGGATAGAAGTCAGGAGACAGCAAGATGGCTCTGCACAAAGTCACCTGAAACCAAGCCTGACAGACTGCGTCTTATCCCCAGGGATGACAAAATTGTCCTCTGACCTAAATGCACACACACATGCATACACACACATACACCTACACAGACACATACTCACACACACTATACATGCATACACACACATACATACAGCACACACACACATACATGCATATATACATGCATACCCACACAGGCATTCACACATATACATCACATACATTGCGTATATACATATACCATATACACATACAAACGTACACATCGTACACATGCTCACACACACGTACATGTACTCAAACACACAATTTTTTTTTTTTAAAGGCAAAGAGTACAGTAAGGAAGAGGACAGAGAGTTCTTTCCCCAAGGTCAGCCAACCACCCAAGTCAGGGCTGGATTGTGGAGTCCACTGATCATTGTGTAGACCTGAGAGAGCCTGAGGCCCAGCAGGGCAGGTGACCCTTCCAAAGTCCCCCAGCAGACAAAGCCACACTGCCGGCGCCACCTGTGCCCCCTGACTCCTGAGCCAATGCCCGCTGGGAAACATGGTACCTTGGTACATAGATGAGGCAGGCGGTAGAGAAAGGTCTGTTCTGCCACCTGCCTGCCATGTGACCTTGGGCAAGTCATTTGTCCTCTCTGAACTTCATGTTCTCGTTCCTCAAGATGACGTAACGATGCCAGGACTGCCTTTCTGCCAAGGCGTGTGCAGGGAACGATGAACGTAGGAAGCCTCTGACCATCTGCAGGGCCCTGCGAGGGTTGTCACCAGCAGGAGGCAGATGGGAAGGTGCCAGGCTTGAGCCTGGCACCACCAGGCTCCCCGCATGTCCTGCCCAAGCCTGCAGCTTCTTTGGTCTCTGCCCAAGCTGTGCCATCTGTGTGGTGGCATCAGCCTGTATCTTCCTGCTGCCCTGGCAGGAAGAGACACTGAGATCTCTCATTTGACCCAAATCCCCCCATAGCCATTGCTGAGCAGACAGACCCTCTGCTCCCCTCTGTGGGGGGTGGGGGTATTGTTGCTGTTCTCAGTGCTGGGGAGCAAACCCAGAGTCATTCTCCTGCTAGACAAGTGCTCTTGCACTGAGCTCTACTCCAGGTCCCATTATAAAATAAGTAATTACCTTTATCTGTTTTGGGGTAACACTTGGCTGATCAGAGGGCACATTGCAGGAACCAGTTCTCTCACTATCTGGGTCCTGGGGATCAACCTCAGGGAGTCTGGCTTGGTGGCAGACACCTTTATCCTCACCCCATGACCGTTTGGAGAGATGGTCTCACTGAGTCACCTAGGAAGGACTGTCGCTCTTACAGGTGGCAGCACTCCAGCGTCAGATCTTCGACTTCCTGGGCTACCAGTGGGCTCCCATCCTGGCCAACTTCCTGCACATCATGGCTGTCATCCTGGGCATTTTCGGCACCGTGCAGTATCGGTCCCGGTACCTCATCCTGGTACGTCTCTTTCCCTGACTCTGCCTCTCCAGACGTAGCTGCTTCCTGCCCATAAAGCCCCAAGGGACACAAATACCCAGCTGCCGTAAGTGTGCGCGCAGAAGGATCCGGGGCACTGTTTTTCACTAGAGAATCTTCCCAGAGGATACTGCCCAGGGTGGACCAGGCAGAGGGCATAGTTCTACATCTGTGTCATCCACCCCATTACAACAGCCCCACAGGAAGTGAGGCTCAGCGCTGTTAAGTCTTTCTAAGGTCACACAGCAAAGAAAGGCAAAGCCAGGCCTGGAGTGACGGCTCCTACACTGTCACCATTCTGCTATGGAGATGAAAAAAGGATTATACAGCTGTGATCCCCAGGGAGGCAAGGAAAGCATCAGGAAGTCTTGAGTTCTGTCCCTACTGCCTGATGTTCACCTAGGACATGGCCCGCCAGGCGTGGTGATGCATACGTATCTGTAATCCCACAACTTGAGAGACAGAGACAGTATCCTCGTGAGTTCAAGGATAGCCTGGGCTACACAGTGAGACCCTCTCTATGTTTAAAAAAGACAACGTGGACTAAAGGTACTATTAGTGTGGCTTACCCTTTACTGCTAATAGTCTTCTAGACACCTGGTTTCTGACCTCCTCAGCCTGCTGCTGCTCCCTGCTGGTCCTCCATGCCTCTTCAGGGGGCCATATCCAGGGAACAAGCTTTTCAGTAGATGAGCCTGCATCCACCCTTGGTGCCTGCAGTGGCAGGGACATGCAGTTCCATGCTAAGGATGGCTCACATGAGCTTATTCCAGGTCACCTCTCCTCTCCGAAAGGCTCGGCTCCACCTTGCTGGTTCCGCCAGCGGGTGCCGTTGCCTGCTGAGACCCTGCAATTTGCATTTTTAAGATGTAATTATTTATGTTTCCTTATGGAGGGGTACACTTGAGTGTGTTACCTGAGGAGGCCAGAACAGGGTACCGGGTCCCCTGGACCTGAAGTTACACGTGGGTTTGAGCCCTGTATTTGCATGGTTGCTGGGAACATTCCCTTGCTGAGCCATCTCTCCAGCCCCCAGTTTGTAAATTGTGGAGGCAGGGGGAGTGGTTTAAGACAGGGTTTCTCTGTCTCTGACAGCCCTGGCTGTCCTGCAACTCGCTCTGTACACCAGGCTGGCCTCGAACTCAGAGATCCACCTGCCTCGGTCTCCAGTGCTGGGATTAAAGGCGTGTATTACCACTGTCCAGCCCTGATTTGTATTTTTTAACAAACTCCTTAAAGTAATTGCAATATATCAAGAGGGGCTCTCTCTCCCTCTCCAAGGACCTGGGCTAAGGGCCAGCCCCGCCTCCCAGCTGTGTGATCCAGAGAAGCTCAGCCTGCCTCTGTGTCTTAGTGGAGGGGAGAAGACATGTCCCGTCTGCTCTACAGGGCGATGAAGGATGGGTGTGGACTTATAACCTCCACTCTCCCTTAAAGTCTGTCTCCATTGACTGTGCCACCCCCCGACGGCCCCCCCCCCCCGCTTACTCACTTCTGCTTTCTGCAGTATGCAGCCTGGCTGGTACTCTGGGTCGGCTGGAATGCCTTCATCATCTGCTTCTACCTGGAAGTGGGACAGCTATCCCAGGTAAGCCTCAGGCCTGGTGGTGTGCAGAGCACGCCCTGATCCTTGCCGTCCCTAGGACTGAGGGCTGGGACATAATCTCTTCCATGCCCCTTTCTCCCTCTGCACACTCCAATAATCTGTGCAGCCCGCTTGTCCCCCATTCTTTTATCTCTGGCCTCTTCTGTGCTTCTTAAAAACGAGGCTGGCCCGGATGAGGTTAAAGGTCATTCGCTGTGAAGCTGAGCCGAGGGCTCTATTGACCACAAGCCCTGTGAAAACTGGAGGTGTATGTTGGCACATGATGAGATGCTCACAGGAAGGTGAAAATGTCATACACACACGTTTTATTGCTTAGACACAGAGAGGCGCTGGGTCCAGGCCCAATCAATAGTTTTCAGAAAGGGAAGAGACTAGGGTGGCATTTGTTCAGGGAAAATTGAACAAACTGTGTTGTGTGGAGAAGAAGCTAAAGAAAGCAGGGGTGTGTACCTGGAAGAGGAGCAAAGCCCAGAGAGGCACAACTTCTATTTTTAGATATAAAGGAGGACAAATACAGGAATAAAAACTTTGGCTTCATGGCTTGACCCTGTTCCATTTAAGTCTCTTTTGTAACACTGCCCAGCAGTTGGACACCGGACAAATGGCCTGTTCTAAGCTTCAATTTTGCTCTTTCTTTAGATGTGTTTATTATTTATTTTATATGTATTAGTGTATGGTAGTTACTCTTTTAATCACTGTGATAAAACACTACGATCAAGGAAATTTATAAAATAAAGTGTCTAATTCAGGTGGCCAAGGATTAGCGTCCAGGATGGCAGAGCAATTGCTTGGCAACAGAAACAGCTGAGAGCTCATATCTTAGGCCACACCTCCGAGGCAAAGAGAGAGAGATCGCTGGGCTTTGAGGTGCCCCCTATAACACATCTCTCCAATAAGATCACACCTCCTGTCTGTCTGTCTGTCTGTCTGTCTGTTTGTTTGTTTGTTTGTTTGTTTGTTTTGAGACAGGGTTTCTCTGTGTAGCCCTGGTTATCCTGAAACTTGCTCTGTAGACCAGGCTGGCCTGTAACTCAGAGATCCACCTGTCCCTGACTTTCAAGTGCTGGGATTAAAGGTGTGCACCACCACCAGGCAAGACCTCAGCTTCTCATCCTCCCCAAACAGTCCCACCAACTGGGGACCAAGTATTCAAACACATGAGCCTTACAGGGGTAGGGCAGGCATCCTCATTCAGACCACCACAGGGTACATGGTCTGCATGCATATCCCTGTATCATGTATGTGTGTGCAGTGCTGGCAGAGACCAGAAGGGAGCGAATGAAGCCAAGGAGCTGGAGTTACAGACAGTTGTGAGTTGCCATGTGGGTGTTAGGAATGGAACCCTTGCCCTCTGGAAGAACAGCCAGTGGTCTTAACCACTGAGCCATCCCTCCAGGCACCTCTCTCTCTCTCTCTCTCTCTCTCTCTCTCTCTCTCTCTCTCTCTCTCTCTCTCTCTCTCTCTCTCTCTGCTTAAAGACAGTTTCTTTTGTAACCCAGGCATGCCTCAAACACTCTGTAGCTAAGGATGACTGAACTCCTGATCCTCCCAAATGCTGGAATTACAGTTATATACCACATGTGCCAAGGAACACAGAGGAAGGCAGAGGGAACCCAAGGTAGACATTCTACCATATTCCCAACTTCCTCCAAACCAGCCTGGAGAGGTGGTTCATCAGAGTGCCCACTGTACAAGCATCAAGCCCTGAGTTCAGATCCCTGGCACCCACATCACGCCTTCCAGTGGCATGTATCTGTAAACCCCAATACTGGGAGGGGGGAGGGGAAGCACAGAGAAAGAGATTTCCTAAGAGTTTCCAAGCTAGCCAGTCTAACCAAACTTGTAAACTCCAGGTTCTGTGAGAGACTCTGTCTCAAAAAAAAAAAAAAAATATGTCAGGACCAGAGAGATAGCTGTGTTTTTGTTTGCTTCGCAAGCCTAACGACCCAAGCTCAATCCCAGATCCTGTGATAGAAGGAGAAAAGTTGTGTTTAGACCTCTGGACATCTTCTGTGGCACATGTGCGCATGCGGGCACACACACCACCACCACCAATAATAATTAAATGTAAAAGAAAAAAGATTGAAGGGCAATAGAGGAAACCCCTCAATGTGTACACACACACACACACACACACACACACACACAAAGTAGGAGCTTTAATCCCAGCATCTAGGGGGCAGAGGCAGGCAGATCTCTAAGTTCAAAGCCAGCCTGGTTTTTACAGAACAAGCTCCAGTATAACCAGAGCTACCCACAGAAACCCTGTTGAGGGTTGGGTCTTGGAGGATGGACCATAGCAACTCCATGTGGTTACATGGGAGATGCAGCCTGATCCCAGGCCTGTGTGTTTGGCGCCAGGTCAGTGTGGTGAGTCTCAGTCTGACTGAAGGAGTACAGGGATGCACACCCTCTAAACAGCTGACCTAGCCCAGCCTCTTCTCCGTCTAACCAATGGGAGACTGTGGATCAAGAAAAGGAGAAATTTGTCCAGAGTCACATACATAGCAATGGGAACCCACTGGGTTGTATGGGAACTTGTATTGCAGATTTCACGGATGCCTAGGGAGTTAGACCCCGTCTCTGTTAGTGTCCTTCGAAGTTTGAAATTCGGAGGCTCCAATATAGGCTCAACTGGGTTTCCAGCTCCGTGAGAGCAATGTGAAGTCTATGTGATCCTCTACTGCCACCTGCTGTTCATGTTTGGACTTGCAGGTGCAGGCATTTTTTTTCCACAAATCAAGCTAGAGCAGAGCAGGCTGTGAGAGCAGGTAGTGGGCACCTGGGGAGTATCCTCCTATCTCTCCCCACCGCTGAGTATCCCAGGCCCCTCTGCCCCCAGGACCGGGACTTCATCATGACCTTCAACACATCCCTGCATCGCTCGTGGTGGATGGAGAACGGTCCAGGCTGCCTGGTGACTCCTGTTCTGAACTCCCGCCTGGCCCTGGAGGACCACCATGTCATCTCCGTCACTGGCTGCCTGCTTGATTATCCTTACATTGAAGCCCTCAGTAGTGCCCTGCAGATCTTCCTAGCTGTGAGTCCTATTCATCACCTGACCCCATGTTCCAGGAAGTGCAGATCCCGAGTCATCCACTCTTATCCCCATTTAAGAGATGACAGGCCAGATATGGTGGCATAGACCCGCAATTCCAGCAGGCAAGAGGTGGAGGCAGGAGGATCTGGATTACAAGGTTGAAGTCAGCCTAGATTACATAGTGAGCTCCATGCCCTACACCTGCCCAAAAACGAAAAAGAAAAAGAAAGATAAACCTGTGTATTTCAGCCTTCATTTGCTCCTGGTTCCTGTGACACCTCCCCCTCCTCCCACCCATCTCCCATCCTCATGAAGGGCACGGGCAGTTTTCATGAGTGGAATGAGCCATCAGGCCAAGTCCTGCTGGGCTTAGAAATCTAATCTAATACATCCCTGGGACCTTGAGCAAGTCATTTGCTCTTTCTAAGGTCCCTTGCTATTTGCATAGACAGGACAGTGCCAACCTTACAGAGCTTTGAGACTAAGAAAGGAGCTCGAGCCAGGCATTGGTGGCACATGACATTTATCCCAGCACTCAGGAGAGGGAGATAAGCAGATCTTTGAGTTCAAGGCCAGCCTGGTCTAAAGAGCACGTTCCAGGACAGCCAGGGCTACGCTGAGAAACCTTGTCTCGAAAAAAAAATCCAATCAAAAAAGCAAGGAATAGAAAAGAAGGGGGTTTCAAATAGGGTTCACAGCCAAGCATGGTGGTACTCCTGTAACCCCAGTACTTGGAAGATCAAGGCAGGACAATCTGGAGCTCAAGGTCAGCCTGGGCTACTTGAGACCATTAATGGGAGGGCCAGCCCTGTCTTGGGGACTTTACACAGGCAGGATTATACAATCCTTTCACCTAACAGTCCAGTGACACGACCTGGGCCTAACTGGGAAGACTTGGGCACAAAGAAGTGAACTGCTTGTCAGTCACAGAGCTTTCAAGCAGAGGCATTTAACTTAAATGTTTGCTTCGGACAAGGCATTGTGTCCGGTGGGTACAGGGGACAGGGACGACTTCTCTTTCTCTTCCTGATTGTTATCCCCTCTCTCAGCTGTTCGGCTTCGTGTTTGCCTGTTATGTGAGCAAAGTATTCCTGGAAGAGGAAGACAGCTGTAAGTGTGTCTCCCCCACCCCCAGAGAGGAGGGGAGGGGTCTTTTCAGCACCATGGACAGGGCCTCCTCGCTTCCTGGTTGCTCAGGGTCAGCTTGGGTGCTGTTTGTAAGGAAAGAAGAGATGGATGGGTCTGTATAACCACTCCGGGTTAAGACCCAAATGCCTAAATATTCAGTCCAAGGCCCCAGAACCGCTTTTTAACCGTATAGAAGGGCTCAGAGCCTTAGGGCTTTCCTTCAACCTGACCACCTCTCTTCACCTGCTGGGGAAGGGGAGATGCAATACTTGACACACCACACACGCGCGCGCGCGCGCGCGCACACACACACACACACACACACACACACACACACACTGCTCTGCACAGTCCCGCCCTCGGGCCCACATCCTGGGCGTGGCTGTTCCCGGCCCCACCTATCCCTTTCCAGGCTGGGCTACCCAGGAATGGGTTCGTGATGCAGGGTTCTTTACCTTCAAGACCTAGCCTTCAGGACTCACCCCTTCTCTTCCACAGTTGACTTCATCGGTGGCTTTGACTCCTATGGGTACCAAGCGCCGCAGAAGACGTCGCATTTACAGCTGCAGCCTCTGTACACGTGGGTCCCTGGCGGGGGCTGGGTGTAACTGGAGAGACAGAGTCATTAGTGTTGGTGGAAAAAAAGGGCACAGAAAAGGCGTGGGCATCCGGGTCTCTCTGCCCGCCTACTCGTAAGCCTGCAAATGCACTACTTCTAACCTGCCTTTGTTTCCTGCAGGTCCGGGTAGCTTCTGGCCCGCACCCACCCGCGTACAGCTCCCTGGACCGCTGGAGCCTGAAGCAGCGCTGTCCAGAGGCTCGGATCACGATGGGCAGGCGCGCCCCCTGCCGTCGCTTAGGCTAACTGCAGCCTCCTGGATTTGCAGCCCCTGGAGCAAATGCAGACTCTCAAACTTGAACTTGGACCTGACCCTAGCTCTAGCCGGACTTCAGGGTTGGGGCAGGACGGGGCGGGCGGGGGGGGAGGGGGGATCGCTGGGTTTGTATTTTTTTTAATCTCAGCCTTGGTACGTGCCGGGGTCTTCCTTTTTCTTCAGCTCTACTCCTTACCTAGTATCTTGCCCTCAGTCCAAACAGCAAGACAGACGGACTCACCCCATCTGACCTCCCATTCACCTGCCCTGGGGAAGGATACTGTGAACTAGATACAGAAGTCCTGGGCTCCAGCTGCAGCACCATCACTGACATCCTGTGTGACATCGGGCAGAGTCTTTGCTCTCTCCGGGCCTCAGTTTCCCCATCTCAAATAATTAAAATAATCCCTTAGCCAATGCCGCTCGTTTGACTTTCAGTTCCCTGAGCTACACTGCAGATATGGAAACTAAGGCCCAGAGCTGTGAGGCGACTTGCTTGAAGCCACACAGTAAGGTTTTAGCAGAGGCAGGCTTTGAATCCTGTGTACTCTAGTTTGAGACTCTCCAATCCAGTATCTGGCCTCTGGACTTAGTTTACAAGCCCTTATCTAGCTTGGACATTCCCACACACTCACAAATCACCACCACCACGCACCAACTCCACTCCTAAAGCAATATACCGGTTCGTTCTCTTGGGAACCAGACAGACAGAGCCTAAAGCCTTGAGTTCAGCCTGACCCACAGGAAGCCTTTGTAGACTCAAGTCTGCTGATCTTTGGCAAACTTTTAAACCTCATCCTCCAGGAAAGTGAGACCACCACTCCTCCTAAGCCTAGGTCCCTATCCCATGACCCCACCCTCCCAAGCAATCCCACTAACCTTCAATTCTTCACCTATCTCACCATTGTGATCTCTGAGGGGAAGATGATGGTGTTCAGAAGCAAGCCTGGGGATATGAAGGGGCAGAATGAGGGTGGGTGACTATGGTCAGGAGGACCAGAACCCCATCCTTCTGAGGACAAGCAGAGAGGAGGGCTCTGCTTCATCTTCTTCCTCCACAGATGCCCTGAGGACCCCTTGTCATCCTCAGTAGTTCTTGGTGAGTTATGTACAGAGAGAAAAGACATCAGTGCCTCCAATCTGTGAAACTGAAGCAATAGGAAGGGCAGCTAAGAAGCAGAGGGACCTAGCTGGGAGCTTGCACAGTGGAGACAGTTCACACCACACTGTGGTGAACACATCACTCTCCAGGTTTTCCTGAGCTAGAGCGGCAAGCCCACTCTACAGTTCCATCCAGTATGCCACACAGAACAGCCAGGCCCAGGAGCTCCTCTGGCCATCACAGGTCCCTGGGTGGTGAGCCTAATCAGAGGAGAACAAGTTTCCTTTAGGCCAGGCTACCTCTTGCCACTGGGCCACCTCCCACCAGCAACTCTCACTTCTCTTATCCCTTCCCGCAAGGCTCTTTCTACTCAAGGGTTTAGCCACGGATGCTTTGAAGCCTTTTGGTTTTATAAGCTGGGTTTTTGCCGAGGGTTTGGGTTTGCTTCTCAATGAGACCTTGTGGGCTGAGACCTCCCTGGTATCCATGCAGGTTGGTTGATTAAAAAAAAAAATCTTTTCTTCACTGTGTACCTGTCTTGCCCTCTTGGTCAGAAAGATATCCAAAGAGATATCTTTGTCTCTTTTGTACCTGCAAAAAAAAACAAAAAACAAAACAAAAGAGCAAAACTAGGTGGCCATTTCACTTTTAACATATACATACATTTAGTGTGTTTGTTTGAGACAGAGTCTCACTGTGTAGACCTGGCTGATCCAGAACTCACCATGTAGACCAGGGTGGCCTTGAACTCATAGAAATTTACTTGCCTGGCACTCTGAAGTGCTAGAATTAAAGGTGTGAACTACTGCACTTGCCCCTCCTTTTAAAAATATCGTATTTATAATCATTTGTTTTGGGGGGCATGTATGCCACAGTGTTTATTTGGGTGTTGGAGGACAACTTTGTGGAGTTTGTCTCTCTGTCCACCTTTTTTTTTTCCCCTTTACTATATTTATTTGCGTGTGGTGTGGGGTTGGGGATTGAGCACACATCCCAGAGAATACGTGTGAAGTCAGAGAATCATTTGCTGGAATCAGTCTTCTTCTACCATGTGAGTCCTGGGTATTGAACTCAGGTCCCAAGGCTTACTTAGCAAGTACCTTTACTGCTGAGCCAACTCCCCTGTACGCACGGGTGTGTGTGTGTGTGTGTGTGTGTGTGTGTGTGTGTGTGTGTGTGTATGTGTGCGTTGAAACTAGGTTTCACTGTGTAGCCCAGTCCGTCATTGAATTTATACTCTTCCTGCTTTAGCCCCCCACAATGTTGGATTGTGAGTGGGCACCACCATGCCTAGCCTTTATCATATACTCCTGAAGCCCTGGCTGGTGCCCTAGACTGGCTTTATGGCTTTGAGCAAGCCACTATTTTTTTCTTTCTCAAAACAGCACATAGGCTGCTGGGTAGTAGTGGTGCACACCTCTGGTCCCAGGACCTGAGAGGCAGAAAAAGGTAGATCTTGTGAGTTTGAGGCCAGCCTGGTCTTCAGAGTGAGTGCCAGAACAGCCAGGACTATACAGAGAAACTTTGGGGGTGGGTAGTAGGTGGGGGTGGAGGAAGATGAAAAATTCTCTGTTTTATTTGCTCATTCTGATGATGTTTCTGGGTCTCTTGCATCTTGGCTCTTCTTCTTGACAACTGAGTTCCTGGCTTTGAATGATCCGTGCCTTAGTTACTGTTCTATTGCTGTGAAGAGACACCATGACCACAGGAACTTATAAAAGAAAGCATTTAATTGGGGGCTTGCTTACAGATTCAGAGGGTGAGATACCATGGCCATCACAGCCGGGAGCATGGTGGCAGACAGGCGGGCAGGTATGACACTGGAGTGGTAGCTGGGAGCTTACATCTGATCTAGAAGTCAGGCAGAGAAAGAGTGCGATTGAGCCTATTGTGGGCTTTTGAAAACTCAAAGCCCACCCCCTGTGATACACCTCCTCCAGCAAGGCCACACCTCCTAATCTGACTGGGAACCAAACATTCAAATAAATGAGCCTGTGGGGGCTGTTCTCATTCAGACCACAAGCTGGCAGACAGTGCTCTCTGTATGGATTCCTCCCTCCTAGCCTTGACATTCTAGGTCACTCTGGTGACTTAGCTCAAGAACCAGTATTTCCACTTGACATTGAATCTTGGACTCAACGTAATTAAGTGAGAGAGAGAGAGAGAGAGAGAGAGAGAGAGAGAGAGAGAGAGAGAGGGCTATCTATCCTAAGCTACAGGAGAGACCATATGCTCCCAAAACAAGATTTTCTGTTTCTGAGATGCCATGTTATTAGACTGGTGCACCCAGGTCATCAGGAGACCTTCCTACCTCGAGATCCTCAGTTCATCACATCTGAGAAGTCCCTTGCCTGGGTCCATGCCTGGGTTCCAGAGAGGAAGTGGGGAAGGAGCACTCTGCTTCCACAGGGAAGGAACTCTTCCTAGGTTATACAGCCCCAAGTGTGAGAACCAGGGAGGCTCAACCTGTGTGAGGGCAATGGGATACCATTGAAGAATTCTGCTCACAGACTACCTGAACTGCACGGTCCCTTACAGAAATTCAGCGGGGCTTCACAAGTGAGTTGGAAGTGTGAAGTAGTGGTATGTCTATAGGAAGCTAACCTGTGCTGGAGACGTTTGTATGTGATGGCAGTTCCTTGTGCATACACAGGAGAGCCACCAGCACAATGGTGACTAGTGTGACAAGCAGGCAGGTTTAGGTCTCCAGCACAAGGATGGAGTTAGCCTCCCAAGGAAATGCAGTGCTGTATCCTTAGCCACTCTTCCATCCCAGGCTATCACTCTGAAACCTCTGCATATCCCGGTAGCTCAGGTAGAGATCTAGGACTGTGGCTCAGTTAACATGCTCGCTTGCCTCCCATACACCAGGTCCTGGATTTGATTGCAAGTACTGTGATTATAAAAACTGTGTGTGCCACACACACCTAGCACTTGCCTGTTATCCCAGCACTCAGGAGGCAGAGACGGAAGAATCAAAGTTCAAGGCCAGCCTAGGCTACATGAGACCCTGTCTCAAAAGAAGAAGGAGAGCAGGTTAGATAGCTCAGTGGATAAAGATGCCCGCTACTAAACCTGACAGTGTGAGTTTAATCCCACAGGATGGAAGGAGAGAACTGACTCCTTCAAGTTCATCCTCTGGCCTGCACATGTGTTCTGTGGCACACAGAGTATAAATAAAATAAAAAGCAACAGACTCTCAGCCTCTCCTCCTCTAACCTGTGTCCATTCACTCTCCCCTGTGACCTTAAGATTTGAAAGCTCAAGACCTGGGTATGGTGATGTTGTATGATGTAATTACATGCCTTAATCCCAGCACCCCAGAGGTAATGCCAAGAAGATCAGAGGTTCAAGACCATCCTCAGCTAGTTCGAGGCCAGCCTGGGCTACATAAGCCCCTGCCTCAAAAAAAAAAAAAAAAAAAGGAGGGAGGGAGAGAGAGAGAGGAGGAAGAGGGAGGGAGGGAGAGAGGAAGGGAGGAAGAACCTGGAGCATATTCCTGGTGAATGAGATTCATGGATAGAGACTGGGGTGATAAGGCATCCTTTAATAAATGTTTAAGAAGGAAACTGCTGGGGGGATTCCTGTAGCCAGGCTCCCAGGTTCATCCTGTAGATGTTTATTGAAGACTTTGTATGTCCTCTAAGCAAGGACCAAGAGGCTGTGCGTCTTCCACACTGGTCCTGGGTCTGGAAAAGCCAGCAGCAAAGTAAAGCGGGGGTAATCAGAACACAGATAAGTAGTCTGTCTCCAACAAGGACACATATTCAGCACCCATGCCATCCCGCTGAAGAGCTCTGAAGAGGCAGCATAGTCCTCACCCTACCAGCAGGGTGGCAGCTGGCCCGAGACATACCTTTAGCATGCATAGGTTGGGGGGGGGGCCCTTGGGCAAACCACAGGAAACTCTTTTGATCAGAGTTTTGCAGACTCAGCCAGCACTGACATTTATGCTGGGTGAGCATTAGCTGTGATCAGCTGACCTGTGCACTGAGGATTATCCCTGGGTACCACTCGAAAGATGTGCCTCCACAGCTACGACAACCAAAATTATCTATGGACATTGATAAATGACCCTGGAAGGCAATATCACTCCCAATTAGCCAGAATCAAGTGAGTCAAGTCATTACAGGGAAGGAGTAAGACTTTGGATAAATAAATCTAAAGGGTAAAACAAAATTTTATTTATGTGTGTTTTTGTACTTATGTGCCTGGTACCTGTGACAGCCAGAAGAGGGAGTCAGGTCTTTTGGAACTGGAGTTCCAGATGGTTGTGAGCCACCATGTGGGTGCTGGAAATCAAACTCTGGTCCTCTG